ATCTATCTATCTATCTATCTATCTATCTATCTATCTATCTATCTATCTATCTATCTATCTATCTATCTATCTATCTATCTTGAAGAAGAGGTCTTCTCTTTTAGTTCAATTTTCCTTTTGGGTACCCAGAGGTACTCCTGGGAATGTCACCTTTACAGGAACTAATCACAATGAAGGGGGTTAAAGTGGGAGAGGGAAGTTGACAAGGAAATAGATTCAAAATATTCTAAGTCTTCACCTGGGCATGGCTATTTTGTTGGGTAGATGGGGAATGACCCTGTTGTCCCTCTTGCCTTCCACCAGGAAAACAGCAAAGTATTGTGCCTCTGGTTCCTGTGAGCAAGAGAAAAAACCAAATAAAAAACCTTTTTGAAAAATGACCTATAACTTTCTTGATGTCTGCAGGGTTGTATAGTGCAGAGGTGTCAAACTCAAGGCCCGGAGGCTGGATCCAGCCCGCAGGATGCTGAGATCTGACCCACAGGGCCACCCTGGAAACAACCCATTTTGCTGGCAAAGCTTTCAGGCATCCTTGACACGAGTGACGTATAGCAGGCCAACCTGACCCCACTTCCTGAGGTCAAACACAACGCTGATGCAGCCCTCAATGAAATCGAGTTTGCCCCCCCCCCGGTGTAGTGCATTGTGCAGTCTTGTAAATAGAATTGAAAGGAACAGATTTCCATGACAAAAAGCTCGTAACGTATCAGATAGCAACTGGTGTCTTGTGATCAAAGGAAATGAGGAGAAGAATCATAATCCTTCATCATGGAGAGGCATAAACCCAGCTTATGTGTGTGACCAGAATTTTAAAATACCTTTAACACCTCCACAGGCTATTTTCCCTCTGGCTTCCAAGTTATGGCAGTTGGATTTTCTTTTGTGGAAGAGAAGGGATTCTTGAGGTTGGAGCTGGATTTTTCCTTTTTTTATATTTTGCTTTAGTTTAACTAAACTAATTAACAAAAAGTGATAAAACCAAAAAAAGACAAACATAAAAAAGACAAATTAAATCTCGATCTGTAGAATAATATAATCAGCCTTTTTATTATAGGTAATAAACCTTTTTATTTATTATATAAACTTATAAAGGAAGTTTAGAAGAGGAAGCAAATACATTCCTTCAATCTGTGATTGTAAATCCCAGTTGCCCATCGTTATAATCTTTTATAAAAGAATAATCTTTTTTGTTATACACTCACAGTACTTCTATATGTCTTCAAATAATGAAAACTTCCAGATTTGGGTTTCATTCACATCTTCCACCCATATTACTCTTTCTGAAAGCAGACAATGAAAGACCGCTCTGACCTATGTAGAACGTGTTGACAGACTTTAGATGTTTCATTATGAAGCTTCGCATTCTGTTGTTAAAAATAAAAGAAATATATTTTAAAAGATTAATTTGCATATTGCTAAGGATCTTCTTCAGCTTAGCATCTGTTGTAAATGAAGAACTTCTGCTAGCCCATGATCTTCCAGATGGGGCTGAGGTACAATTTTCCATTGCTAAATTAAGGTTTGGGTTATGAGAAGATAATAGTCCATCTAAGTGATGTATAGATCAAATATCAAACTGGATGGCACAAGACAGCTTGCTCTCTGAGTTCATTTGATGGTTCTGATCCATTCTGGAAAATGGCAGTGATGTTGATACCATATGTACTACCGTACGTAGCATGCTTATATGGAAGAGTAATGGGTTCTTATAGACACACACAGTGGATATATCTCAGTGACAGAATAATGTATTGAAAGTAAGAAATGGAACTTCATGTATTGGATTATATTGGTAAAGTTAGTTGATTGGTTGAGGGATTAAAACTAGCAAGAGTTCCAAGATCTGATAGTGTTTGCATTTAATGATTAAATCATTTGGATTCAACTGGATTGGGGAGGACTTGGTCTATCAATGCCTCATTCTATTTTGCTAAAAGATAGATTGCGAAAATAGAGATGCTAAATAGTGTCTTCCTTTTATATATGCCTTTAAAAAAAAAAGTTAGTTATTGATTACATTTATACACCATCCATTCCAGTCTGAAAAATGATTCTTATTTGCCAGACTAGACTCCCTTGCATTTAATTTCCCCTTTCCTTCAGGTTTTCCATTTCTCTTCTCCCTTCCAAAGCAGTGTCCATGGCCATTAGCACCTTGTATTTATGCAGTCTTGGTTTTTTCCCTGTCTAGAACACAGGTGTCAAACTCGCGGGGTCATGTTGCTGTCATGTGACGTATAATGACATTTTCCCCTTCGCAGAACTGGGGTGGGTGTGGCCTTTGGGTGATGCTTCCGGCCCGTGGGCCACCAGTTTGGCACCCCTGCTCTAGAAGTATCCTGTTGCACCACTCATGTATAGCCTCTTACCTCTAATGTAAGTAAACTATATAGGGTTAAATAGAAAGTATTAGATACAGAAATAACCATGCCTAAGTAGCATCTTCTATTTTATAATGGATTATACAGCAATTTCTACCACTTATTAGTTTGTAGCACCAAATTAAGCTTTGTTTAATTTGACTTGAATGGAATTATGGTTGTCTAATAATATTTAGCTTGTTTGCTATTCAATATAATTTTGATCCTTATGTGAATCTTTTAAAGTAATTTTGTCTTCTGTCTTAGTATCAGTTTTCCAAGTCATTATTTTTCTTGGCGCAATGCTTTGAAGCAGTGGTGGGTTGCAGGCGGTATGGGCATATCGGTGCCAGGAGCACCAGGTACCATTCCGGTATGGTGCTTTGGAGGGCCCGCCCACCTGCCCGCCATCCTTACTTGTATTTGATCTCTTCGGAACTTCCGCGCACGTGCACAGAGTATACGGTGCCTGTGCAATGCTCTGGCAAGCAACTGAAGCGTTGTGGAGGCATCGCGCAGCATCGCAGGAGGTAAAGATGGATGTGCATGCTGCGTGCACGTGCACTGCACACATTCATGTGATGGCCGCCGGGCCCCGTTGCACCGTACCGGTTGCAACAGGATCCAGAACCCACCACTGCTTTTAAGACTACTTTTCTGTATCCAAATATATCACATTTGGAGGTTAGTGTTATAATGTCCCATTCCCATCAGTAGGTTAGGATCTGATCTTTCCTCTGAACTTACATCAGGTATTTTGTGTAACAGTTATTAGCTTTGCATAGCAGTTAGTATTGCTTTAAAATTATGTTCTCCCTTCCTCAAAACTAAGAAAGTTGCTTTGCAAAAATCCAAACTTTTCTTCTAAGCGTTTTTGTATTTGTAAAAAATGTGTAAAATATTGCATTTTTCCATATTTTCATTATTTGTTGAGATTTTTCTAAACTTTACATAACTGTTGAAAGTAGTGTTAACAAGCATCATCTATCAACTTAGGGGAGGTATTTGTCCACATTCTCGAGTAGCTAAATAAATAATAACAGATTTGTTTTAGAGTTGTTTACAAGAAAATTATTTTAAAAGTGTCACTTTTTTTTCTTTTTAATTGAAAATGTGTCCTTCTCTTTGATTAAGCTCCATTTAATATTGTAAGATTTCCATAGGAGATATGACCCAACCTACCCAAACACAGAAACCCATTTCTCCTGAAATGAACTAGCTGTAAATCTTTAAGAAAACTGAAAATCCAGGTCCTCTGTAATATCAATAAGCTGAAACAAACAGGAAATTCCCAAAGTAACTCTTATTTTTCTTATTAACTATTTTCTTATTTATTTAGCGTATGGCAATTCCTATAATAGCTCTTAGCAATTACTTATATACCACTTTATAGTGCTTTTACAGCCCTCCCTAAGTGGTTTTACAGAGCCAGCCTATTGCCCCCAACAATCTGGGTCCTCATTTTACTGACCTCGGAAAGATGGAAGGCTGAGTCAACCTTGAGCCTGGTGGTATTTGAACTGCCAAATTGTGGGTAGCCTGTAGTCAGCAGAAGTGGCCTGCAGTACTGCACTGCACCACCGAGGCTCAGTAAGCTTATCAAAGCAGTTAGATCAAAGGACTCATTTGTCAAATTCTCGTCTGCCTAGGAGGCAATGCAAGCTAATGACAAAAATAACTTGGCTTTTATTCATGAAAGTAGCAAATATTAAGGTTTGTTTGTTTGTCTGCTTCATTAAACAAAGAAAGCAACTCTTGTGAGGAAGAGTATTTGTTCCCTTCTTCTCAATGAATGTCATTCCGCCCAACTGAATTGATCTTTGTATATGTATATAGCATTACCAAGTTCAGTCATTCTTCCTAGTATGAAAACAACATTTCTGAAAGAATTATGGCTTGTCTATCACTGGTAAATGTATTAAAATTCATGAGGTATTGGACTTCGCTGAAGCGAATAGAACAAGTGCATAATATCTAAAAGCCTAGAAAAGCTTCTAGATGTGGCCAGGAGTGATTAATTTAATATTTCATATGTGTGCTGTATAAAGAAAATTTGAATGTTCATTCTTGATTACCTTTCTACCTTTTTTTTCCTTTGCAGTGTGTGCTTTATTTGTGGGCCTTGAAAATTCTTTATCCCAAAACACTGTTTTTACTGCGTGGGAATCATGAATGTAGACATTTAACAGAGTATTTCACATTTAAACAAGAATGTAAGTATGATTCAGAATGTCTTCTTTTGATTCTGTTCCTTTTTTGAGAGAGTGTTAAAAATCTCATTCAGGAATAAAACAAGTAAACTAAATACCATTTTTAAAACACGCATTTAGATTTTTCAAAAATTATCATGGATAGTTGCCATCTAAAAGCATTCATCCCTTGATCTTCAAATGTGATTATACTTCTTGAAATGGTATCAGGATTCTGTGAGTTTACTTTGACTGAATTAATGTTACATCTTCCTCTGGCACCATATGAATTCCTGGTTTTCCATGTTGTCAAAGTTTCAGAAATGTATCCTTTTATGTTATCCAGTGATGGAGTGCAAACAGAGATGGAGTTTCTGAAAGCAAATTGTTCTTATTTCCACCATTATCCAAATTCATCCATAAAGTAGCCTAAAACTGAAATTAAGCTTGCATACATCTGCAGTAAAAAAAAAATTATTACAGCACATATATTTCAGTTTCATTGATCTCAAATAAAAGGTCAGGGGACTGGAGTCATAAATGTTGAAAGGATGCATTTGACTTTAGCCATAAATTGTAGTTCTCTCCAAAATTGAAGAAAAGAACATTAAAGAGTTGGTTTCCCATTCTAATACTTACTGTTTTCTACCTCCTTTTTCCTATTTGCTCCTCATTGCTTTCTCATTTGATAGTTTCATCAAAATATGGTGTGGTCAGATTAGGGGAGCTGCGACCTATGAAAATGTGTAGAGTGGTATTTAGTTTATGAGCAGAGAACGAAAGGTCTATTAATTTACTTGACTGTGTCATAATTTATTGTTTCTTTACTATGCATAATTTATAAGTTAGCATTTCAGATTAATTTTATGTTCTAACTTATTTATAGCTATGATTGTATAGATAATTAACGAAACGCAGAGGGGAGATTTTGGAAACTGACCTATCCTTAAATAGGGTGGAAAATGTTTAATGGAATATAGAAAGAAATTTAGTTTTTTGAAAGAAACTTTTGCATTGACTAAAAAAATATTAATAGCTTTTAGTGGGACCTTTTAACACATTTTAAGACTTATTTATAGTGTATGAAATTAATTGCTATTACTACATAATTGTAAATTTAATTTATTGTGCTTTTGCAGAATGACACTCAAAGTAACTCAACAAATTTATTAAAAAGCTGGAAATTTGTGAAAGTTAACTGGCAAGCAGAAAATACACCTTACCTAAATATAAAATGCATAAAATCTATAACTGAGCTACAAATCATGTTCAATCCAAGTCAAAATGAACTACAAATGTTTCACATGAACAAAACATATTTCATATGATACCCAAAGGACATCAAGAAAGACATTAAATTCATATTTCAAATTTCATTGAGATGAAATGTTTGCTTATACAGATAGTCCTCAAATTACAATACTTCATTTAGTGACTGTTCAAAGTTACACCTGAAAAAAGTGACTTATGACCATTTTTCACACTTGCATCGTTGCAGTATGCCCATAGGCATGTGATCAAAATTCAGATGCTTGGCAACTGACTGATATTTTTGAAAATTACGGTGATCATGTGGTCACCTTTTGCAACCGTCTGACGAGCAAAGACAAAATTCGCTTGACAGAAGTGTTACTAACTTAACAAGGCTGGCAAGAAAGGTCATAAAACAGGGAAAAAACTACTGTTTCACTTACTAACAGAAATTTTGGGCTCACTTTTGGTTGTAACTTGAGGCCTACCTGTACACAAAAGCTTTCAATTGTTTTATTTATGTAGACAGACATTTTCATAAGACTGACTCTTTGCTAATACTAATATCACAACATAGGTGTAGATAGCAACAACCAGCATTCTTGGCCAACTTTATATTTCCATTTCTTTATTTTCATTTTTTATTGCTTTTATCATTACAAAAGGTAAAATAAAGTATTCAGAACGTGTGTATGATGCCTGCATGGATGCCTTCGACTGCCTTCCCTTGGCTGCTCTGATGAACCAACAGTTTCTATGTGTGCATGGTGGCCTGTCTCCTGAGATCAATACTTTAGATGACATCAGAAAAGTAAGTTTGAGAGCAAGTATCCAAAATACTCCTTGTATACATCTGGGATGCCTGTTCTGGATGAGGGTAAAAATGTTTATTGCTAAAGAGGTTCCCAATGACCTATTATATTATGATCTAATTTTGCATATCCAGTTGACATAGATTACTAAAAGGGATGCCATGTAATTTTAGATTCTGCATTAAAAGTTCAGTTTTTTCTCCTAAGTAACTATATTATCACAGCCTGAATGGTAGATTGTGGCAAGGAATCAACACAGTATACTTTATACTATATTTTAACCAGTTTCAAGATTTATTACAAATCATTTTAGGAGTTACAGACAATGGCCTTTTTGTCTTTTAGCAATTACTTACTCTTTTGAAAACTAATTTGAGGATTAAAGTCATGCTGTTCCATCACATCAGTAGTCTAAAAGCTGGGCATAAAATATGTAATTGAAGATGTATCACAATTAGGACTTCCAGCTGATGTCGCGGTGACATTGTATGCTAGGAGTAGGTCTCTGTGCTCCCATGGCCAGTTCTCCCCGTTGGAGGGCTCTGAAAGGAGCTAAAGCCATCCTGTAGGGGTGATGAAGAAAAGAGGTGTGCCCACTAGGTTGTGGAGAGCAGCACGTCTTCCCTCTCATCCATGACGAGAAGAGGGAGCCATTATGGCTGCCATGAAGCTGGGACAGCCATGGCAACAAAGATGTGCAGAAGCAGTGTAGAAGAACAGTGACTGGATCTGGGTGAGAAGATTCTTTTTTTATTTAGACCCTAAATAAATAAAAAAATCCAGGAACAGAGACTCTTTGACTATTTCTTAAAGCAGCGAGCAACACTAGAGAGAAAAACTCTAGACCCAAAAGAAAGGAACTAAAGGGAGAAAAATTAAAGACCCTTTAAAACATTAAAAATGGATTTTTAAACCGGGAAGCAGTTATTTTGGAAAGGCATTATAAAATGCTGGAACTATCTACTTGAATAGCCGACTTTGCTTCCATAAATTCAACTAAAATTGGATTAATCAATTTATTAGACTTGAAACAATGGTGAAACCTAAGATGTGGGCACCATCTACTGGTGAATGGAAAATATACCATACACCTACAAGCCTGGCAAAATTCCTAATAAGAGAAATAAATAACATTCATCTGGACGACTGTGGTGATTCTTACTATTCTATAACTATCTACTTTATGATTACTGGAGACTCTATTATGAGAACAAGGAAGATTCTTAAGTAAAATAAAGTGACTTTTGATTTATGGAAGCTGCCTGAACTACTTAAATGGAATTGATTAATAATCCTGAGATGTAAAGAACTATGATTGTTGAACTTTCTGAGGAGCAACATTGGATTTGAATATATTGTTTTTGAATGATTGAGTAAGACTTACTAAAATATGACAAGATTTCCTCCATCAGGGGGAAATAAGTGAGATTTCAAAAAAAAAATGGCATTGATGTTTCAAAGCATTGGGATACTATGACAAAGTATCACAGAGAGATAAAGAAACTATTGCAAGGCATAAATGGAAAAATAGCAAATATCCTACAACTGATAATGAATGAAAATCAAAGAGTCCAGGAAAGAGAGGAGATGGCAGAAAGAATGGAGGAAAAGAGAGAACAGACAAACCAGCAAACAAAGCAAGAAGATGAGAAGGAGAAGATGATAAAGATAATAATGACTGATGAAATAAACCAAGGGGAAAGTACTTTAAGAGATTTAAAAATGGAATTGGATAACCTGGAAGATACTTATGAAAGGGAGATAGAGATTTGGGTGGACAATCTGGAGACCTGGCAGCTTAGGAGGATAGAGATGGGAGAGATACTCAGACTGAATGGTGAAGATACAGATGCTGATAGAAACAAAGATCGAAACAAGAAGTATTGGAGGCAAGCTAAGAAATTAATAAGAAGTATTAATGGGCAAGAGATGATGGATAGAAAGGATTTGTGTCCTTTTTTTCTAATATAATGATGGCCTGATTAAAAACTAGAATAAAGGTAGAAATAAGAATACACACTTTTATATAAAGCAATAGTTAGATGGAAAGATTGGAGGTTGAAAGATGGTATTATTAGGTATGTTTAAATAATAGGATGATTGGTACTTGAATGGCGTATTATGACTTTGAACAACCAAATAATGAAAGACTATGTCTTAATATAAACATGTGTATTAACATTAGTAATGGTGGCCTGTTTAAAAGCTAGAATAGATAGAAATAAAAAATAGGGGAAATATTAGCAGATATAATTTTTATATAATAGAATATAAGTATTAATTAAATGAAAAGATTACAGGTTGAAAGATGGTATTCCTATGTACACTTAATAATATCAATGGCATTAAAATGGAACATTGAAATATTGAATAACTACTTTAAAACAAACATGAGCCGAGGTGGCGCAGTGGTTAGGGTGCAGTACTGCAGGCCACTTAAGCTGACTGTTATCTGCAGTTCAGCGGTTCTAATCTCACCGGCTCAAGGTTGACTCAGCCTTCCATCCTTCCGAGGTGGGTGAAATGAGGACCCAGACTGTGGGGGCGATATGCTGACTCTGTAAACCGCTTAGAGAGGGCTGAAAGCCCTATGAAGCGGTATATAAGTCTAACTGCTATTGCTATTGCTATTGCTATGTATATCAATACTATCAATAGGATTATATAAGTTTGATTAATGTAACAACTATTATGATTATTATTAGTAGTAGTATTAATATTATTATTGCTATTTGTATAAAAATGAATTATACACAGAGGCCACACTGTTCATGTATTGATATTGATGTGTATTTAAAAATAAAAATCCAATAAAACATTTTTAAAAAGTTTCCCAATTATTTGCTTTGGATGTATCAACTTTTATCTCCTCTGTCAGCCCAGATCCAAAAGTAAAGCGCGTAAAAGATAAAAGCTGCCCTCAACCTCCGCAGTCTCAAAGGGTTTAAATTGGAGAGGAAACTGAGAATAATTTCATTCAGCAAGGGGATGCCCTCTTTATGCAAAATATTTCTTCATTAGTTTGTTTAAACCAAGCAGATCTGATTTTATTTATAGCAAGTCATCAGTGTTTAAATGTTGTTCTGGTTTAAATAGAATTAAATAGCTTTATTATTAATATGTACCTAGGGAGTTATTCCGTTGATGGAATTGATTTCCTCTATACATTCCCCTGATCAATGAAAGAATAGAAAGGCTATGTGGAAATCAGTTATGAAATAGAAATGCCACATTCTCCAAGATGAATTTGCAATGCAGTATACAAATTTCTCAATCAATATGGCTGCAAAGTGGAGAGGTCTGCTTAATGTTGATTTTCTATATGTGTTCTATATTGTCATCCAAACAGCCTTTGACACTATGTGAAACAGTTCACAATTTCATCCTATCCTCTAGATGAGGATTCATTCAGGATGGGAAGTACCGTTTTGGCTATTATGGCTTAATTGGCCTTTAAAAATCACATCAATTGTCTAAAATAAATTGCAGCACTTTACTTTGTTATTGTTGTTGTTGTTCCCATTGTTTAACTCATAACAAAATTTAAATGGTATTAAGGCTGCCTTCTTTGATTTATTATTTTTTAATATTAAGTGTTTATTTTTCAGGCTGAACAAAACTGTTTCTGGTTTAGAAATATTTTATTGATGTCAGTTGTTTATAAAAATTGTTTCATTTTATGTCAAAATGATTTAAGTATCAGTCAGAAGTTAGCCTTAAATATGGCCTGGATGGGGCAGAAAGTACATAGGTTACTTTCTTAGATGATCTTTGTTAGGAGCAGGATAGGGAAATTAGTCCTCCTGGTGTTGCTGGACATCTCATCAGACTTCAGTCCCATCCACCATGAAGTCTTCTCAGCCATCTGCAGGGATTGAGAATCACTTCTGTCTGAATGGCCAGTGGCAGTCATGGGGAGAGAAGTTGTATGTTCGGGCATAATGTTAGCCCTTTTCATCCTGCTGTTAAAAAGCTGTATGTAGTTGTTGGGGTGGATCATCCAGGTGAAAATCTGAGGTAGTACAGACCTATATTCTCAAACTACCTTTTCTGAATTGCATCTGCCTTGTCTAGTGAGATTTGGAAGGAAAGGCTTAATGAGAGTCCCACTATCAGAGAGAAATCTCACTGTTGGGCTCCTTGGAATGGAGCAACTTGGTCCAGATGTTTATTCTGTCCTTCCCTATTAGTATTTGGAAGAGCTGGAAAGAGATGGGTCTTTAGGAGAGCATTTGCAGTTGGATGATGAATTATCTGCTGCAAATGAGGATGAATTAGATTACTGGTATGTTACAATAATTACTGTTTTATGGATTATTGGTTTCAATTCTACTGGTTGGTATAACTGCTCAGACCCTTAACAGGGCAGCATAAAAACTGAAGTAAAAGTAGTGGTTAAAATGCATGAATCCATTTGAGTTTTGGAAAATTCTAGTTATGTTCAACTGTTCAATACAGTGTCCTGGAAATAGAAATTCAAAGGATTTTAATTCATGGACCAATTTACATTGTATGTTATAAGTTGTTCCCCGAGGGTTTTTCCAAATATGTTATTTGTAACAGGATGAAGCAGCATACAACTAAGTGACTATGGTGTTGTGTGTAGGTGCTGCTGTCTACTTACTGACAGGCTGATATGTCGACAGTTGCACAGAGTACTATAATTAATATGTTTCTTTGTTTTTTTAAAAATTATGGTATGACCATGACAGTTGTCATTATGTTTTTGTAGTAAGGGTCCCTATCCTTTTGTCAAGAAAGCATTCTCTCTCAATCCAGTGTGAACATCGTCAACATTTCTTTTTGTAATTTGTTGCTTTCCTTCAAAAAATTTTATATAGAGAATATTGTAATGTTGTGAGGTCCATATCTGTAGTATATAAACACTGTAGTATATAAGCCCCCAAAGATTTGTGTCAACTTCATTAACTATGACATCTTAGTGAGGTACTCTCTATATATAATGTCTTAAAATTTTCAGCATTGTGGATCACTACAACATTGTGTAGCTATATTATTACAACCACTTTCTTGTGGCTTTAAGACTCAGTTGTAGTTAAGATAGAAAGGTATAAATACAAGATGTCAGCACAAATGATAAGATAATTCTAGTCAAAAGTTGCTTTGGTTCTTCTGATCCAGACATTCCCTTAGCCTTTCTCTTTATGTTCTCTTTCTCTCAGTTAGATCGATTCAAGGAACCACCTGCATATGGACCTATGTGTGACATCCTCTGGTCAGATCCACTAGAGGACTTTGGAAATGAGAAGACTCAGGAACATTTCACTCACAACACAGTCAGAGGGTGTTCATACTTCTACAGGTGAGAATACTTACTTTTTAAATATATGAGTTGCTGTTTTGTAAGCCATTGTTATTCCTTGAGCATGTACATATATCTTGGCTTCTCCATAAAAAAAGTATAATTTATGGCTAAAAATTCACTTTGAGGGGGCTGTGAAGAAGATGCATGTCAAATGAGATTTTATTTCATCTTAAAATATTGACTCACATTTGAAAATTTCCACAAAAAGAATTATGAAACAACAAATTGTATTATAGCAGAATTTAATGTGAATCTTGCAAAAGCACAAAGCAAAAAGGGGAAAACGAAAGATGCTAAAAATACAATAAGAGGAACAAATGAACAAAGAAAAGGAGACAGACTGATATTTCTCTATGATATAACTTTCATTCTGGGTTAGTTTGAATTTAGACTTCCTCAGTTTTACTCTAATACTGCTGAAAACCAATAGAGTTGTAGGGTAGATCCCAATTACAGATAGTCCTTTGACTTGATCTCAATCACAACTGAACCCAAAATTTCCATTGCTAAGCAAGACAGTTGCTAAGTGAGTTGCATTCTATTTTACAATCTTTTTGTCCCAGTTATTAAGTGAACCATGCAGTTTTTAAGCAAATCAGGCTTCCTCCATTGACTATGCATGTCAGAAGCCTGCTGGGAAGGTTACATGCCCAAAAGATCCTGTATAATAGGCCAGTCATAAACCATAGATCCTAGACTAAACATAATCCCACTGGAGCGAATATAGAAAGAAAGGCAAATGGACATTAAGAAACAAGGGAATGTCCATATGATACTGGAATTTGTCTTTTATCTCAGAATGTAAACTATTGAGAAAGACAGAAGACAAATACAATTACCACCTCTGCTCATGCTGTGATGGGATTAAAGCTGAAAGAGCATGCAGCTGTTGATAAGGCAACCATGAACTGAAATAAAATTGTTATTGTCTTTCAACGTTGACATTCTGGTTTATCAGCAAGGTCAAATAAAATGGAGTGGGTCAATTCACATCAGAGAACCATCAGATCTTATGCTGAAAGAAGAAAGTCATAAAAAATATGGAATGTACATCGAGAAAGGGAGAGAGAAAGAGAGAGAGAGAGAGAGAGAGAGAGAGAGAGAGAGAGAGAGAGAGAGAGAGATGATAGAATGTTCTCATTTGAATCAGAATAGTCCACAGGGATCAAATCTGTGCTGCAACAATAGATTAAATAGGCCTAATAAGGATTGCAACAGCTTGTAATCAGATCTCCGAAAAAGATGACTCACTAATATTAGAATATAGGGTTTGCCAAAGTTGACAACTAAATTAGCATTCTAAACAATGGAAAAATTTGGCCTTGGTGTATGAAAATTTGGGAACCTCAAGACGAGAGGAAACACCTTCAACACCATGGTCGTTCCACCAATGCTCTATGGATATGAAGGCTAAAAATCTCACTCGAACATTAAAATCAGAAATGAGGAAATTCTACAACAAACTAACTTCAAGTAACTTATAACATTAAGATGAAAATGGCACTTTTTACTGTCATATATGAAAATAGAGAAAGAAAAACAAAAGGAAAACATGTTTTCTTTGTGATTTTTAAAAGTCAACTCAAAAAATAGTGAAAAATAGGAAGGGGTTAGAATTTTTTATCCAGGGGCAAAAAATTTTTTCTAATAGATCAGAATTTAGATTGCAACTTTAAAGGTAACAATGCAGAATTTGTCCACTGCCAGAGATGTAAGTTTAGTACAAATCAGCGAGCAATAGTTAAGTATTAAAAAATGGTTCATACACCATGGAAAGTCCATTAAAAGGGGTACAGTGTATCTGTTCTTAATTTCTATGGAGAAGAGGCAGAATAATGAAACATGGCTTCAGGATTCCACTCTATTCAAGTCATAAAGAAATAATTGGTTATTATAAGAGACTCCTGAATTTTTCTTTCAAGAAAAGAAGTAGAGCATCACAGCAGAAGAGTGAGAAACTTTCTAAATTTAGGTATTGTTGTACAGTTCAGGAAGGTTGCTGGTTTCCACATAGAGGCTGAGTTGTTAAGAGAAGATTTTTAGGGTAAGGAGTGGAACTAGTTTGTCATTCTGCATCCAGTATACATGAGTTTATTATTTTGGCAACCTGCTTTTAGGTTAGTCTAGGAAGGCTCCCCAAGATAATCCCAATGACTGGATTCCTTTCCCATCGTTACTACCTCCTGTGCAATGGAGTTATTACCTACTTCATGAGGAATTGAAGCAATAATGGATAAAAACACATAAGTAGGCAGAACATTGGGACATGGTGGCTCAGTGGTTAAGACTCTGAGCTTGTTGATCAGAAGGTGGGCAGTTCAAATCCCTAGCGCCGCATAATGAAATGAACTCCCATTACTCTGCCAACCTAGCAGTTTGAAAGCTCCTAAAAATGCAAGTAGAAAAATAGGGACCACTTTGGCAGGAAGATAACAGTACTCCGTGCCCCTTTGCAGTTTAATCATGTCAGTCACATGACCATGGAGATGTCTCCGGACAGCGCTGGCTCTTCGGCTTAGAAACCGAGATGAGCACTACCTCCTAGAGCTGGAAACAACTAGCATGCAAGTGCGAGGAACCTTTACCTTTAGGTAGAACATAAGTGGAGAAAGAAATTACATGGGGTCAACCAATATCACACCCTCACTTGTGTAATCTCCTGCAAGATGGAGAGATGGCTTCAGAACCAACATATTCCAGATAAATACAATGATAAAATGAAAGTTAATATGAAATAAGAAACAAATTGATAAGAGTTGTTATATAAAGAACATCACATAAGCCAAAGAAAAATCAGCCTAGTCCTTACATTCTCAGAAGCAGTCCAGGTCCAACCCCACTTGAATCCCGTTAACTCTTATCTAGCACCAATTTAGTGCTGACTATTAATTGACTAAATCCTCATGCATAGGCATGAGGAATAATAGCAATAGCACTTAGACTTATATACCACTTTACAGTGCTTTGCAGTCCTCTCTAAGTGGTTTACAGACTCAGTATATTGCCCCCAATAATCTGTGTCATCATTTTACTAACCTCAGAAGGATGGAAGGCTGAGTCAACCTTGAGCCTGGTGAGATTTGAGCTGCCGAATTACAGGCAGCTGGTAGTTAGCAGAAGTAGCCTGCAATACTGCACTCTAACTACTGCACTACCGTAGCTCATTCAACTGGAACTTAATGCATGGTCCTGATTCTTTGTCAAACACCTGACAAAAAGATATATCCACACATGGACATACCAGTTTTATTTCCCCAAAATCACGGTGATTATATAATCTGGAGTAGGTCTATTCAGTGAGAAGAAACAAAACTAGTCTGCATTATCTCCTTGAAAATATACAACTTAAAATAGATAAGCAAAATAAGATTAGCAGCAATCTATATGGCTGTGCTGAGAAAATAAATAATTGCTTTAATGTATTATACTTGTTACATAGACTTCCTGAGGAAACTATATCCTGAAATTTATGACATCATTAAAGACAAAGCAAACAAAAATATTCTAAACAGAAAAAGAAGGCAAACTATCTATTTACTGAAACACTGGAAGCAGCTGAAGAAAGGCAGAAAAAAATAAAACAGAGGAAGATTTGCCAGAAGGTTCTAGAGATGAGGTAGAAAACGCAAGTTGTTATTTCCAAATAATGAAAATAACTGATGATGACAGTATAATGGGCAGGGAAAGAGGTTTTTTTTAAAAAAAAAAAATACCGAAACCATTTGTGCAGAAATAGGTACAGGAAAACGCAAAGAAGACAAAAGATCTACTGAAACAGAAAATATGTGTGTCATATTCAGGCTGAATTTGGAGTCAAGCAGTTTCTAATTTAATAATAGCAAATATAAGAACAAAAACAACAATATGGAAACTGTTGGCGCAGTGGTTAGAATGCAGTATTGCAGACTACTTTTGCTGACTGCTGGAGTTTGGCAGTTCGAGTCTGGCCAGCTCAAGGTTGACTCAGCCTTCCATCCTTCCCAGGTCTGTAAAATGAGAAAATGAGAATCCAGATTGTTGGGGGCAATATGCGGACACTGTAAACCGCTTAGAGAGGACTGTAAAGCACTGTGAAGCGGTATATAAATCTAAGTGCTATTGCTGTTGTGCTAAAAAAAATCCAAAATTGATGATATACATCAATTTTTGACCATTGAACAAGAGCTAAATGAGCCGAAACGACAGTACAGGCATTGGTGTTAAAATGCTCTGTGCAATTTTCAAGCAGGGATAGAAAAAAGAAAAGCACTGCCAAGGGACTGTAAAAGATCAATTTATAGTCCAATGTCCTCCCTCCCAAAAAAAGGATGCTGAATAATGTTCAAATTGCTGAATATATTTATCCCACATGCTAGTAAGATTATGCCGAAGAATTTCCAATCCATATTTCAACAGTATAGAGAAAAATAATTGATTGATACATAATATGCATTCAAAACAAGCAGTATGCCTAAGATCACATTGCTAGCATCTGATGATTAGTGCAAGAGGCAAGTCCCAGAATAATATCTGATTTTGCTTCATTGATTATACAAAAGCTTTCAACTATGTAGAACATAACAAAAGTATAGGTAGTTCTTTAAAACCATATACCAATCCACAAATAATTTGTCTCATGATCAGAAAGTAATAAAATAACATTTTGGGGAACTCCATAGTTCAAAATTGAGGATGGAGTGTACCAAAGTGGCATATGTTATCCTTTGCATGATGGTATAAAACATGCATACATACTATATTGTAAAAAGCACCGGTCTAGGAGAAATAGAAATTGGAAATAAAATTGCTGCAAAGATGGACGTGCTGATAATAGTGGCTTGCTGGCTGAAAGCAAGAAAGACTGGAGTTGTATGTGGAGGGTGTGTGGAGATCCTCTGAATTTTTTTTATTTGTAAATTGGATCAGGCATAATGCTGACTTGAAATTAAATCTGCAATTAAGTTCTAAGTGACATCTTTGTGTATTCTGTTTGTAATTCTATGGCAGTAATTCTTTGT